AAAATTACATTTGTATCGTGCCTTTCACATCAGGAGGACGTCCCACTATCCTCCTGAAGAAAGATACATTACTGCAATTGGACACTTCATGGCTTGTCAGCTGGTGGGTGGAAGCATGGTTCAACACACTCATGTTTGAAGACCGTTCTTTAAATGAATTTGTTATTCACAAGAAGTACAAATTGTGAATAACAATTTGTACTGTTTTACTTCTGTACATTTTTTTTACTATCAAGAACGTGACCAAAAAAATGTTTGGCCGAATCAGCTTGTCATTTCCCAATACATGGGACTTGCTATGTAACTCTGTTAACTGAGGTGAATAACTTAATGAAACTCTGCAACAAAGAGAGCACTGAAATAAATGCCTTCAATCGTATTTCCCAGCAGACTCCGTTTTACCATTACAACCTACATTATTTTACCCAATGGGTTGTATTCTAAAACAACAGTACAACATTGTGGGAATGTTTCCTTGGGAGATTTGGTACAAGGCGGATGCATTAATGGCTTGTCTATATTACAAACTCCAGGAATAGATACACAGCCTCACCCTCGTGTTCATTCCTTGGGGGAGGTACTGTTGTGAGGCACCAAACACAAAGCTGTTTAACCAGATAGAGATAAACTGTTGCATTGAGAAGAGCAAGAAAAGAATTGTAGCTTTAAGCGAAACAAATTAGTATGTCACAGGATTGACCTCTGCCTGTGAAATAAATAATCCTTGCATTTGTTATAGTGCCTCATCACGTCATCGAGACGTGATCATTTTGTGGGCGAAACGTGTAAGCCAATTGCACACAGTGTCCCACAAACAGACATGGATTGAGTGACCAAATTATTATTTTTTAATTATTTTTTCTTGAAGTGATTATTACCCCCAGAAAAGCGATCTGCCAATCAACTAACAACCGGGTTACAACTTACTGCTAGGTAAGCAGAAGCACGTGGAGTAAGGAAACTTGCCTAAGGTTTTGCCTGGCATGTCTCGCTGGCGAGGCGAGTGCTGTAACCAGTAAACTACAGGACTCCACTCCAGCAATGGAAGATCTCCGACCCCAACAAAAAGGTTCAGTGACTTTGGAAGAAAATTGAATCAAAATCGGACGAACAAAAACCGGTTTGACAAACGTGTATCACTTTATCTCGCAGATTTGGAATGTTCCACAAACCTCACCTGGCTTAACAGTGTTTAACGAATGGAGTTGTTTTTCACACTTGATGGTTGCCGGGTGCATTTTTAGAGATGGTGTAACACCAGCTCAGCTCCTGGTGCTTCAAGCTGTCTACGCTGTGAGCAGCGCTACGTGCTCTGGAATGTTCCTGACCCGATGGTGCATACTGATCAGCCCTGGAGGGGGCATTGTCTCAGTCAGAGGAAATTAATATTGTCGCTCACTCGCCTGACTGCCCAGGGAATCCTTTGTGTTTGGCTGGGTTCATAAACCAGGGGAACGTAGGACAACCTTGGGTTTCCTTTCCTTTTCACCCCGCCCCCTTCCTGTCCCACTGTTGGTCTGAAATACTGATCTTACACAGACTGTGTTCTCAGGACATCATTCATCTCTCGGTTCAGACAAAATTTCATCATCTGATTGAATTACTGCTCTTTTGAGCAGCCTGATGGCTATTGGTGTCCATTGATTCTCAGTGTTGAGGGAGAACTAAATGGGTGGGGGGATGTGCGGTGGAGTGTGTGTGTGTGGGGGGTGCGGACAAATTTACATATGCCCCAGCCCCAATGTGTTGTGCATTGACGCTGTCTGTTCGTGTGGATATTAAAGATCCCATCATACTGAAGGTGTTCCTCCCTGTGCCTTGGCCAACAATCCTCAAGCTAAGTTGCTCCTTCACTTTATGGCTGTTTGTGGGACCTTGCTGTGTGCAAACTACAGTCACTAACTACACTTGACAGCAATTACCTGTGAAGCGTTTTGAGAGGCTTTGATGTTAGAGGTAGTGTTTCAAATGTGGGGATTATAATGATTGTTACCGCTGCGGTCAGGAATATCTCTGGTGATTTGGGGGGAGGGTTTCTGCCTCAGGAGCACAGATGTCAGACAGCCTGATGTGCTGCCTGCCAGTCAGACAGCCTGAGATAACTGCTGCCACTCGCTGACTGTGTCTGTGTTGACAGTAATTGGCAATTTTGTTTGTGAAGCCATCGTGGACAGAATATCCCGAAAAATGTAAAACTTGACGGGTCAAATGTTGTGCTCGACAGCCCAGGTGGGCAGAACACATCCCAAATCCATGGCAGATTAACATAGCTTCAATTTATTTTTGAGATAAATGATCCCTCCTGAATTCACTTGCTGTATACGTGTAAGTTGTTCTTTGTTTTGTTAATTTAAAGGGATGATTTAGAATAACGGTGTGCGACAACAAGATTACGTTTGGAGGATAACCCAAGGCCTGGAGGTCACCCGAAGGCGCTGACCCGAGCTGGGGTCAGGGGGAAGATGGGTGGCCGATGGCATGGTCGAAGAGGAGGCGGGACTTGAAGGAGGCTAAAGAGGAGGCGAGGCAGAGTGACTGGGGGATGGAGTTCCAGAGGTTGGGGTTAGGGGTTAGGTGGCTGAAGGCTCTACTACCATTGGTGGGGCGGGTGAGTCGGGGGACATGGAGCAGGTCAGAGCCGGCTGAGCGGAGGGAGCAGGCGGGTTGGTAGGGGGTTAGGAGGTCACAGAGGTAGGGTGGGACGAGGCCATGGAGGGCTTTGTAGGTGAGAACCAGGATCTTGAACTGGATCCTCTGAAGGATAGGGAGCCAGTGGAGTTGGGTGAGAATCAGGGAGATGGGGTCACAGAGTTTGGTGCGGGAGCGGACACGGACTGCAGAGTTCTGGATTATCTGCAGCCTGTGGAGGGAGGAGTTGGGAAGGCCGACAAGCAGAGCGTTTGCATAGTCGAGCCTGGAGGCGATGAAGGCATGAACAAGAGTTTCAGCAGCCTGAGGGTGAGGTAGTGGTGGAGTCGGGCGATGTTACGGAGATGAGGGAAGGCAGAGCGGGTCATGGCTTGGATGTGGTGAAGAAAAGACAGCTGAGGGTTGAACAAGACACCTAGGTTCCTGACTGACTGGTGAGTTGTAGTGTGCAACCATGGAGGTTGATGCTGCCAGAGCCTGAGGTGCTGAGGCGCCGGCGCGAGCCAATCAGGAGGGCCTCAATCTTGTTCACATTCAACTGTAGGAAATTTACCCTCATCCAGGACTTGATGTCTTGACAGACAATCTGTCTTGACAGACAATCTGTCAGGACAACAGTGATCCTGGAGTTGAGGTTGGAGGCCGAGAGATAGAGTTGGATGTCATCCGCATTCATGTGGAAGTTGACCCTATGTCTGTGGATGTTGTCACCAAGGGGGAGCCTGTAGATATTAAAGAGGAGAGGACCAAGGATAGAGCCCTGGGGGACGCCAGGCGTGACTGTCTGATCGGTGAGAGCCAAGGCTCGGAAGACACTAGAGTGTGGATTGGGGACTACTCGAGTTTAACCAGCTAAACCTACTCAGTCCACCTTGGTGTTCAGCAGTACGCTTCCTGCTGCTTGTCCAATTAGGAGCACTTCATCCATTAGAGCAGTGGTGGCCAAGCTTTTTGGTTGACCAACCAAATAAACGTTCTTGATTGAATATCGCTTGATTTATGGGCACACCACGCGCATTACTGCTCGGTAGTGACTGGAAACAAGGCATTGATTTGGAACGGACTTGCCTGGGCTTGTGCGAATGCTTGGCTGGCTACTTCCTGAACGGGTTGGCCACCAGTGCGTTAGGGCTTTGGCTTTACAGCATTATTCGAAGCTGAGGGTAGGGTCACTGAGCCAAAACTCCTCTTGTGCACCTACTATAATAATCCATACGTTTGATATAGCGACTTATCACTTGTTGACACCTCTTAAGGCACTTCACAGAATATATTGTAAAGTGAACTGACTGTATTTTGTGAGAGAAACGCTGCAGCCAGTTGTACAGAGCAGTGTCCCACAAACAGTCGTGGATTGACTGTTCTACAACTAGAGAGCTATAAAGCCACATTGGCAGATGCCTGTGAGCAGACCCAAGCTTTCTTTCTCAGTTGGACAAATGGCTCAGAAAGAGAAGTAGCATTTTTTTAATGGAATAGCATAATAGAAATAGTAATAACTACAAAAAATGCTTTGTTTTTTAGTCAGGATGTGCAGTTGGATCCTGATGTTGTACAGTTGTGGGTTTAAGACTGACACGGAGCCTTTGAGCTCAGGGTCTCAGCTGACATTTCAGCACAGTACTGGGGGAGGTGGGGAGCCAATGATTACCCGTTGGTCTCCTGTAATGCTTCACTAGTCTCAAAACCTAACCTGCACCAACATCATAATAAATAATAATCCTTGCATTTGATATGGTGCTTTATCACGTCTTCAGGAATACGTTTGAAGGTTCCATTGTGAAATCAATCCCAGTCCCCAATGCTGCATTCGCACACTTGCTGATAAAATATGGTCAGAGTGGAGTCACACTCCCCACGATTCCGCTCTGTGATGTTTGGCAGGTGTGAGGTCTGACTCAGATGGTTTGAGTCACTCTCTGGGCAGAGGGTCAGGGCATGGCTGGCATGTGCTTCTTTATTTAGCCGTTGTCTAAGAATTAATGATGCCTGTCCAAGTAACTGGAAAGTCTCAGTTCTTAGCTACACAGCCTCCAGTTGTGTTCGGCTCTGGACGCTCACTGACTTTCACCAATCATCAACAAAATAAACATTTAACAGAACTAATTTTGTATTTTGTGGGCGAAACGTGGCAGCTAATTGCTCACAGCAGTGTGCCAACAACAGGGTGGATTGAGTGTGCTAATTTTTAAAAATGCTTTGAAGGGATTATTTACGCCGGAGATCAAGAAATATTCAATTGAGTAAAAGATGCTAGATTTGATGGATCACCTTATCACGTTGAAACGTCTTGAAGCACATAGAATTGCAGAGCCACCTGTTCCTCAGCCATATCTCTGTTTTATTTGCAGGTATATGTGCTCCACACAGAGAAGAGCTTTCACAGGGTGGCAAGAAGTGAGTAGATTTCATTTTCTTATAACTTTTAATTAAAACTCGAACCATCTGTTTTCTTCAGATGATTGGCACCAGCACCACATCCAAGTTAAAGGTCTCTAGCCTTACCCTAATGCAGTGGTGGCCAACCAACAAAATAATCATAGAAATAACAAAATAGCTTCGGTAAAATCATTGATTATTACAGCACAGAAGGAGGCCATTTGGCCCATCGTGCCTGTGCTGGCTCTTTGGTAGAGCTGCCCAATCAGTCCCAATCCCCTGCTCTTTCCCTATATCCTTGTAAATCTTTGCTTTTCAAGTATATATCCAATTCCCTTTTGAAAGTTGTCATTGAATCTGTTTCCACCACCCTTGTATAATAATAATAATTATATTTAGATTTAATAATAATCCTTGCATCTGATATAGAATCTTATGACGTCTTTCGAGACATCTCAAAGCATTTCACAGAATAGACTATTTTGTGGGAGAAACGTGGCAGCCAATTGCACATAGCAATATCCCACAAACGGTCATGGATTGAGTGACCACAATTATTATTATTTAAATTTAAAAAAATTGAAGGGATTATTTATGTCACAAATCAAGAAATATTCAATCAAAAAAATATTTTGTTGGTCAACCAAAAAGATTGGCCATTACTGCCATAAATCAAGGAATATTTAATCAAGAAATATCTATTTTGTTGGCCGACCACCTCCCCAATAATAATAATCCTTGCATTTTATATAGCACCTTATCACGTCTTTGAGACGTCTCAAAGTGCTTTACAGAATGTACTATAAAGTGAATTGACTGTATATTTTGTGAGCAAAATTTGGCAACCAATTGGGCAGAGCAGTCAGTGTCCCACGATCAGTTGTGGATTGAGCGACCAAATTATATTTTTATTACTTTGAAGGAATCCGCCAATTGACTAACAACCGGGTTCCTACTTACTACTACAACAACAAGATTCCATTTATAAAGCGCCTTTCACGTCAGGAGGACGTCCCAAGGCGCTGGGCAAGCAGAGACATGTAGAGTAAGGAAACTCGCCCTGTCGGGAATCAAACCCAGGTCCTCTCGCTTGCGAGGCAAGTGCTCTAACCACTAAGCTACAGGACTCCACAAAGCCAATGCATGTTGGTATTAAACCCCTCTGTGCAGTCTATTGTAAATTGTTGTGCAGTATTTCAGGGAGTGACTGTGTGCAGCATGTCAGATATAAGCTGTCACTTTACAGGCTCCACAGGGACTGTTTTAGTGTTGGAGCTATCACCACAGTTCCCCTTGGGCCTCTTTAGATTGCAGACTGTCACTCTCACAGCTCCTGGGGGCCTATTCTCGAGTTTCAGGCCTTTCTTCTGGCTTGTTTGGTCACTTGATTTTTTTCAATGACTTTCACACTTTAACCCCCAAACTGTTGCACTTGGCAGCACCCTCCACCACCTCCCTCTGTATTTAAGGGTGTCACACCATCCCTGTGTCTCCTCTTCACTTTCAGCTGTTTCTACACTGTACAATGCTCCTTGATCAATTGTGCCTCTTGCTCGCAAGCTGTACCTAGACTCACTGCTGTAATCTCCAGGACTCCAAAACCTGATCTCCACATAATATATAATAGTTGCTAGGTTTGCCCTCTGTACATTTGTATGAACATACTAGAGTATAGTTAGAGAACAATACAAGTTATCTGGTCAAGCACTTATTCTGAATGAACACAAGCCATGGAATCTGGTTAGGTGCAGGAACACCAACAGGATTACGTCAGGTTTTGGAGCAACTTCAAATGGACATAGAAGATTGGAGAGGGTTTAGTGAAGAGAACGAGCGGAATCCAGGATTTAAAGATTAAAGCTATGAGAAAGTCTTGGTTATGAGGATCTAAAATTATTTTTGGTAAGAAAAAAAGTTTTTATGGGGTCACTTGATCCAGCTCCTTAACATGATGAGAGGCTTAATGTAAGCGAGATAATCTGACTTAGAATATTAGAGAAGAACAGAGCAATACATTAAAAATTGAAAGTCTTAAAAAGGATGAGTGGTTAAAAGATTCTTTCCCTACAGAGTAGTAGATGTGTGGAACTGGCTTCCGACAGAAGGATTTGATCCTAAATTGATCAGGTCAAAAAAAGAGCTGGGAAGGTATAGGTGTGGCTGCAGACTGGACTCATTCAGTTAGTAAACGTACAATCAAAGAAAATTCAAAGTGATCAAGTTAGTATAATCATAGAATCCTACAGCACCGAAGGAAGCCATTTGGCCCATCGTGCCTGTGCTGGCCTTTTAAAAGAGCTATCTAATTACACCCCCGCTTTTTCCCCATAGCTTTGCAGATTTTTCCTTTTCGAGTAAGTATCTAATTCCCTTTGAAAGTTATTATTGAATCTACTTCCACCACTCTTTCAGCAGTGCATTCCAGCTCGCTGCTTAAAAATATTTCTCCTCGTCTTCCCTCTGATTATCTTAAATCTGTGCCCTCTGGTTACTAACCCACCCGCTAGTGGAAACAGTTTCTCCTTATTTACTCTTAACAAAACCCCTCATAATTTTGAACAGCTCGATTAAATCTCCCCTTAACCTTCTCTGCTCTCAGGGGAACAATCCCAGTTTCTCTAGTCTCTTCACATAACTGAAGTCCCTCATCCCTCATGAGAATGTTCCTCCCCTCCCTCTCCACACACACCTCCCAACCATTCTGGGCTTGTTTTGGGAGAGTGCCCATGTAAAAGGAAGGTGAGTGTTTGTGAAAGATTTTGGTGAAAGATAATCTGATTTATGAGGGGTTTGGGTCCGAGACGCCGACTGATATGAAGGGCGCTATATAAATACAAGTTGTTGTTGTTGAACATTTTCAAGGCTGAGACTGATAGATCCTTGAAAAATAGAGGGATTAGGGGATATGGGGATAGGGCAGGTAATCAGGGTTAGGTGAGAAGATCAGCTATCATCTTATTAAATGGCGGAGCAGGCACGAAGGACCGAATGGCCTACTCCTGCTCCTAATTCTTATGTTCTTAAACCCATCGAACACTCGCTGTGTGCAGACAATGTTGGGCACGTACGAGAGGGTGACCGAAGCTTTTTTTAAAAAAAAGTGCCTTTGGACATGTCTCATTAAACCGCTCAGTGAGCTGTTCCTCCTGTCGCTTCAAACACAAGCTGTACTCTGGCTCGAAGGGGATGAGACGCCGCTGTCTTAAAATAGAAGTTGCCATTAGCAGTGAAGTTGCTTTCATCGTATTGGGCGTGGGCGGGTAGCATCTGTGAAGCACAGGGTTGTGAGGAGTAGAGCAATACCTCTTAGGTTTGATTTTTTAAATATATATTATATATAATATATAAAACATGTGCATGAAACATTAGTATCGCTCTAAGGAAGCTGGAAAAACTGGCACTCGAATGAGTTATCTCTCCAGCATGATTTTTGAAGAGCTGGAGAGCTTTGAAGAGCTCAGTAGAGATGACTGCCTTGTCTAAGCTTTTCTTTTTCGTGTTGTCCCCCTCCCTCCGCCTTTTGTTTATTTTAACTTTATCCACAAATTTGTTCCCATGACATTACAACTTGTTTAGTTTTAGGTCAGCCGGGTGTCTGAAACGTGTGGAAACTCATCACCATGCTTAAGAGTTTCCAAACCAGACTGAGAGTTGCATGTTTGGCAGATACACATGGAAATTCCCAGATTGGGAATGGAATGGACTTCCAGCACATGAATTGCATGGTCATGTGGATAGATACTATACTTGTAATACTACAAGTAATTCTGCACGTATACCCTGCTCCACATCACTTTCACCGGTTTAGCTCAATTGGTAACATTCTGGTCTCTGGTTACCAGTTGCGAGTTTGAGTCCAATACCAGGACTTAATCCAGAATCTCTCCAAAAACCTCTGATTACCCACAATCACAAACCAATCTAGATGTACTGAGAAACTGTCTCCTCCTCTTGAATCCAGTCATTAATAAAGCTTTTTAACTCAGTAAATCCTCTTGAGTCGGCTTTAAACATCCATTGTCTCTGCAGTGTTCCTCACGTCCAAAGATGCAAATTCCATTCTGAAGCGGGTTCCAAGAGCAAACCGTTTTCTGGAGGAGATCCGACAGGGCAACATCGAGCGGGAGTGTATGGAGGAAATCTGCGGGTACGAGGAAGCAAAGGAAGCATTTGAAAACGAAGAGAAAATGGTGAGGGTTGCCTCTGATTCCACGGGATAACTAGATGGGTTTATTCTGAGCAGAGTAAAGAACGCTCTGTGGTTTTTGCCGCATAAGTACATGGGATCTCATAACCTTGGGCAGATTCAACAACAATAACAAATTACATTTGTAGAGCCCATTCACACTGGGAGCACGTCACAAGGTGCTGGACAGTCAGGGGTTTGGACCTGAATTAGGGGTTGGGATCAGGAGGGGTGGAGGGCAGGGAGTGTGGGGGCAGTCGAAGAGGAGGGCCTTGAAGGAGGCAAGGGAGGGGACAAGATGAAGGAACTGTGGGATGGAATTTCAAAGGGAGGGAGCAGAGAGGTTGAAGGCCCAAACGGCGATGTAGGGCTGGGCGGGGGGACATGGAGCAGGCCAGAGCCCGCTGAGCGGACAGGTTCACACCAGTTACATACATCCTGTTCCAAGCAGAAACTGAAGCTGCTGCAGATAGATGCCTATTTTCTGATTTCTCTACGTGATGAATGGTACCATCTGTCCTCGAGCGTTATTGGGGCTAGCCTTCAGAGTATATTGCAGAACTCTGCAGCTCGTGTACTGTCCCGCACCAGGCTTCGCGACCACATCACTCCCACCCTCGCTCGCCTCCACTGGCTTCCCATCCCCCAGAGGATCGAATTCAAGATCCTCATCTGCACCTACAAGGCCATTCACGGCCTTGCTCCCTCCTACCTCTCCGACCTACTATCCCCCGACTTACCTGTCCGTACCCTCCGTTCCTCTGGCTCCGGTCTGCTCCACATCCCCCGCCCCAACCGCCCTACCATGGGTGGCCGGGCCTTCAGCCTCTCAGCCCCGAGGCTCTGGAACTCTATCCCCCAGTGCCTTTGCCGCTTCCTCCCTTTCCTCCTTCAAGGCCGGTCTCAAGACCTTTCTCTTTGACCGTGCCTTCAGCTCCCCTCTTGACTCTCTACCCCCTCCTCGTTCCCTCCCTTCCCTCCCCTCACCATTTCCTCCCTGCTCGGGGCCTGACCCAACTGTTCAGCGCCTTGGGACATCTTCCCGACGTGAAAGGAGCTCTATAAATGAAATCTTGTTGTTGTTGTATATTCCTAATCATCACCTCTGGAAACCAAGGAATGAATCATGTTTTGGAACACTGCATTGCTTCCCTCCCCATCATCTCACTCAATCCTGGGGTCAGCCTGGCTCAATTCTCGCCTCTTGAGTCAGAACATTGTGGGTTCAAGTCCATGTTGGGACTTTGAACTCCAAATCTAGGCCGATGCTCCCAACGGAGTGCTGGGGGTGTGTTGCATTGTTAGAAGTGCCGACCTTCACATGCAACATTAAACCGAGCTGTCTGTGCCTGTTCAGGTGAACGTTAAAGATCCTCTGGCATTATTCAAAAAGCGAAGGGAGTTTCTCTCTCCCAGCGTCCTGGCCAACAATCCCCCAAATAGAATTGGTCACTTGCTTCATGGCTGTTTGTGGGACACTACTGTGTACAAATTGGCTCCCGAGTCCGCCTATAAATACAGTCACTTTGCTTCATTATGAAATGCCCAGAAGCATCTTAAGTACGTCTCAACAATGTGATAAGGCGCAAAGATCATCATTGTTATGAAAGCCTCGAGGAATGCTGGTGTGGAAAAGGTAGACAACGGCAACTGCAGAGGAGTCACCAGTGTTAGGACACATTTGTAGAAATACTGACATTCAGCCAATCCTGCTTGTTGGGACAATATAGTGGAAGCTTCACTCTGTTCTGGCCCATGTGGATAATAACTATTGTACAAAACGGGGGAGGGAGAGTCGGTGAATATGTTGGGAGTGAACGGACCGGCCTGGTATCTGGAATCTTACTCTTGTGTTTCAGATGGAGTTTTGGAAGGAATATTCCAACAACTTGTACGTGACACCCAGGAACAACTCTGGGCTGCGTGTGGAGCGTACCGATGCCATCTACGTGGTGGTGCCACTGTTGGGCGTTGCCCTGTTGATCGTCATCGCCCTGTTTGTGATCTGGAGGTGCCAGCTGCAGAAGGCCACCCGACGGCGCCCCACGTACTCTCAGAATCGCTACCTGACCAGCCGGACCACCCGCAGCCTGCCTCGCGTGCTGGTGCACAGGGAGACCCCTCACACCCAGCCGGACTCGTCTCACCACGAGCAGGGGGCCAGGCCTAGCACCGAGCGGGGAGAGCACAGCGCACAGCCCTCCAACAGGACACTGTACGTGCAGGAGCAGTCCGCCTCCGTCTCTTCCAGACTCTCCAACGCCACCCCACCGCCTTCCTACGAAGAGGTCACCGGACACGTGGAGAGCACCGTGGAGGAGAGCAGCACACCGTATAGCGACCCGCCACCGAAGTACGAAGAGATTGTCAGAATAGATCCCTCGGTGTCACGCCAGCACACCAACAAGTAACCGGCTCGCTGGGGAGGGACAAGAGGGGAGTTTGAGAGAACTTGCTGATTCAGTGATTAAGACATACAGTGAATGAGTGAGTGTGTGAGAGACGCTTTGCTCTGAGACAACCGTGTCTACCTGCGACCATTTGGGTGAAACTTTACTTCGTAGAAAACTTACACGCAAATAATTTTTTTTTAAAAAAATGTGTCAGACGTTGTGAGCCAGGAGGGCGGCTCACAAAGCAAGCATTCCTGTAACTGAGAAGAATACTACAGTGCGGGGAGGAGATGGATGGAATGAACGGACAATTTGTTTTTGTTTTAAAGAGAAAGAAGTTGTTTGTGCTGTACAACACTGGATTTAATACTGTGCAGAAACACTTCAAATTCCTTCTTGTGGGGTGGGGAAAGTGCGCTGGTGGTGAACAGGAAGAGCGTCCTGAGTCAGCACTGACTCCATGTAACTCACTCGCTATGTCCGGGGAAAGCAACGGACTGTGATCGATGTGAGTCACAACCCCTCATACTTCTGCCTTTAGCACAGCAACGATCGCTGCCGTTTGTGTCACTTATTTTCACTATCCTCACAAGGCTTGTTTTTGCACAAGCGTGGAGAGTGGAGCCAGTGCTGCAGAGATTTAGGGGAAAGCTAGTGATAGCCTTGGATGTTCTTTCTTAGGCGGGGGTGTGGAAGAGGGGAGGGCGCAGAGGGAGAAATCTGCCATATACATGTTTTTTTATTTTAAAAAAAGCACAGGGGAAGAAGGTACGGCTTATAACCAGACTTCTGCCACCTCGGTTTACACCTACATTAGTTCAGGAAGTGCAGAGGGGGCCGGGGAGGGAAGAGAAGCTGGTTTGGGATGGGCCACAAAACCTCCGTTCCTGAAATTATGCTGTTGCCACTAACCGCAGAATGGGTGGGGGGGAGGATGTTTATTCCCGACCCACCTGCTCTGTGCTCTGGATTTAGGAATAGTTGGAAAGTTACAAGGGGGAAGGGGCTGGTTGTGCTTAAGGCTAACCAGAAACTAAAGGTGCTTAGTGCTTCCCTTAATTGTGCAGTGTAACTAACAAATAACAGCCTGATGTGCTGTCTCTGACTGGATGTTGCAGTCTTGGAAGCACTAATGAAGGTTGAACATTGACCAAGTTTTGGGGATGAAAATATGAGATGCTTAAAAGAATTTACTATTGGAAAATAATTTTCCAGGCGAAAGGGAGAAAAAAATCTCTCCCTTTTTTAAACTCTGTTCTTTTTAAATTGTGTTTTTACTGAGTTGGTGAAGCATCTGCTGATGTCATTGAGATGATTGGGAGGGATGGGTCTTCCTTCAGCAGCTCTTCACAGTAATTGAGGAGTGTAAGGGAGGTTTGGAGGAACTTCTTAATGCACGGAGCTGGTGAGAATGTGTTACTTATTGCCGGGAAACTGTGGTTGAAGCAAAAAACATATTTAAGAGGAAATGTGATGCAGACATGATGAAGAAGGGAATAGAGAGGCATGGGAGAGGGGAATAGGAGCAGTGGAGTATAAACCGGCATATACTAGCTGGGCTAAATGGTCTGATTCTGTGCCCTTCTATTTACAGGGTTTCCACAAAGTCCTGTTACCCCCATGGTTTTTGCCCTACAGTGCATTGATGAAGAACTGAAACAAGTGAAAGAATGATGATAATTGTATTTAGAAGTACCTAATCGTATTCAGCACAAGTGTTTAACTGTATTTAGTCGCCCGAGGATTGGTGTAAGTGAGTGAGCGCTATCATAGCAGATAATGATCCATCGCTATGTTCGGTGCCACATCTTCTGTAATGTGGATGGAGTGATGAGATGAGAGCTTCCGACAGCTTATTTCAGCTCCTCCATAGTCTCACGACTTTGTGGACACCCTGTAGTTTCCTTCTTCACTTGGATTTTGCACAAGTCATTCTTTTCTGGAAATCTTAACCGGGTCTCTGTACTTTATGAGGAGTTATAGTTTGGGACCTTCAAAAGTGAAGAGTTTAGGCCATCATTCCTCCTATTGATCAATGCTGAACCAGTGTAAAGATGAGGCTACAATCCTCCATTGTGATGGGATCTCTATTTTCTGTTTAGGTATCTTTTTTGATTAGAATCCAGAATATTCCAGCAAGAGAATAGTCAGGTAATAGAATCGTCCTTCAACTAATGCTTTGGGTTTATCCGATTGATTGGTTGTAAGATGAAGCTTCAGAATACTTTGAATACTGCCTTTGAATTACAGTGGCGATTTTGCAGACACACTCTTCTTTCTCCTCCCAGCCCACCAGTCTGAACATTACTGGAACAAATTAAATTGTTCTCGTCATCCAAGCCGTGTGTTATCACAGTCGTAATCCACTGAATTATCTCTCCTTATTAAAGGAGCTGGATAAATATCCGGTTGTGAAATGGTTTGCAGATTACAGAGAGAGAGATGAATGATGAATGAATTACTCCATTAAGATTTGATGTCTCCTATGCTGGGATGGGCGAGATACTGTAGCATGTTTGTATGTAGACACTCAGAAGGAGAAGGGCAGGAATATAGGCTGGATGAATATTTTAGGAGGGTCTGCTTGATTACCTTTGGGTATCGGGGAACATTTATGCCAAACATTCCCTCGGGAGAGTCAATGGGTAGAGTGTGTGAAACACTACAGTAACTTTGTGCAGTTCATAGTCTGTGAAAGAGTGGTCTTGATTGTCTTCTTTATATGATTATGCCCTTGGAATTGTTCTTTGACCAAAGGACTCAGCTCTGGTTTCTTAAGATGCCTCAAGTGAGGTGCAGTGGATTTTAGTAATGTGAGAATGTTAAAATAAGCTTGTCTGTGATTCACATCTTTCCCTTGTGCCCAATCTGAAACTGAGCCATATTGATCGTTGAATCTAAAAGTGTAAACTTTACATGGTGTAACTTATACTGTTTGCATCCACGCAACCTACATTGTTGTTGTGAAGAACACTGGCAGAGCCTGTTTCCCTCCCCCCGTATTCATTAACTACTTTGAACCATTTCCTCTTCCCCCCCCCGCCCCCATTTCCCCATCAAGGCAGGCGCTGTGCAAATGTAAATTGTATTGTGCTGATTCCTGCCGTGCTATGAATATCTCTTGCACTTTGCCCGAGTTCCCATTCTCTGTATGTGCGGCCAGATTGTGATTGTCAGCTGTGTGACCGGGGAGGGCATCGCAACTGAGCTTCACAGTGTCGTCTCATGACGACTGTTTGTGGGACACTGCTGTGCACAGTTGGCTGCCATGTTTTGGCCCACAAAATATACAGTCAATTCACTTTGCAGTAATATTCTAAGGCGTTATGTCAAATGCGAGGATTACTATGATTGTTGTTAACTTTAGTTCTGTTAAATGAGCCGTATTTGTAACAATTGAGTCGTTCTCGTCTCTCAGAACAGCCCGGGCAATGCAGATATTAGGTTATTGCTACTACTTGGTCACAAGCAAATACCTCAGCCACGTTTTTACTTTTACTTTTGATTTTATTGGGTAATCTAATAAATGTATTGAATTTACAGGCGAGGCCAAGAATACCCCCCCCCACCCCACACCACCTCTCAAACTAATCGGAGGACAAACCCATTCTGAATATTGACAACAGCTGATCATTGTGATGCAATATTATTCAGGAAGGTCTGGGTCCCTCTTATCAATAATAATCATCTTACAGTTTCCTCTTGTGTGTACCCTGCACTTCACTCTTTCTCTCTGTAAACTGAGACCATGCATAAACTAGTACATGTTAAAAATAAAGCAGTAATGTTTGGAAGAGACCACACAGATTAACTCATGTTGCAGCAGATTGAAGCATTAACAGAATGGCTTATGTGCTGGGCTGCAGTCTGTCTCTTTTAAGCCACGTCCTTTCCTTAAAATAGCTGTATCCACGCAACTGTTGTGATAACGTCTTCAATCGAGCAGGATTTTGTAAGTCTAGGGGGAAACGTGGAGAGAGGGCATGCTACAGAAAACCTGTGGCACTCAGCCCAATTACCACAGCTCTGCACTCGGCTGTGCACCATCGCGCCATGAGAGAGAAGTTTTCATAGAATCTTGCAGGATTGAAGGAGGCCATTCAGCCCATCGTGCCTGTGCCGAATCTTTGTACGAGCTATCCAACTCATCCCACTCCCCAGCTCTTACCCTGCAACCCTGCAAATGTTTCCTTTTCAAGTACCTTTCCATTTACCTTTTGAAAGCTAATGTCGAATCTGCTTCCACCACCCTTTAAGGCAGTGCATTCCAATTCATTACGGACAGCATTGATTTGTCATTACAGATTGTGTTCATTTGTCTTTGTGGAGCCAACTATCTAGCCCAAGCTCTGTCATTTTGCTTGTGTTGAAGGTTTTGTTGAATCTTAGTGTCCTTCTTACAGACGGAGTCTTTCAGTGACAACAATTCGCCTTTATGTAGCGGCCTTCACGTAGGCTGACATCTCGGAGCACTTTCTTGGTGGTGGGTGGACTGAGGTTGGAGACTTTTGCTATTGATTTCATATCATCTCTCTTCAGTCTTTCAAGTCTTGTGCTATGAGCATTGGCCAATCAGTTATTCTCAATGGATCGATACCCGGATCCTATGCGTGTAAGAATTCCTGGTTGATACTGCCTAATATTATAACAAATTACAATGTTGGCTCTCCTCTGTGCCTGTTGCATAAGAGAAATAGAATCTCTGAAATACAGTTTATTCCACAACGACTGTCTTTGTAGCCACATTATGAATTCTTCGCCTTTGAAACAAACTGAGGCTTGCTCTGTTCAACACTGTATATCTTATATTCATTTAGCTGTGCGACACAGACCTAGCTAGCTGAATAATTATGCAGTGTTATATAGTACTTCATAATCCATGTAACCTAATTTGAATTGCACTTGGCTGTAACGTCAACATTGCTTCTCGCCAGTGATTCATTTGACATTTTGAAAGAGCCAAAGACTATATATTTTAAAATAAGTCTAATAATATGTCCATGTGGGCGAAGAGGCTTTTTTTGGTTCTTGACTGACCTACAAATGGAGCAACTTGTGGAAACGGCGTTGCGAGGGTATGTCAGCCAAGAGAGGGAGATTCTGGTAAATGGCACTTTGTTGAGATGTCTGTTTACCCAAATGTCGTGATATTCAACATCTCCCCGAGGGACCTGGATGAGAAATGGTGATTGGGTGGGGGGGGGGCATGAGACCATAGAAAAAGGACATAAAAAGACACTCTTCCTCCTTTTGCGTGGTTTAGCACTGATCCTGTGAGCTTTCAGGAAGGACATGCAGTCACTAGGGAGCTGTTTTTTTTATAATGAACCGCAAGAACTCTGGCTGCCTTGTATACGTTTATGAAACCATTCGTGCAGAGGTTTTTTTTGAGTGGTTGAGAAATCAATCTGGCAGTGGAAGTGAAAAGGTTATGCCCAGTGGTAATGTAAAATGATTCCTCTATAATGCACTAAGATAATGCATTCAAAATGCTGTACTCTCTACGATGATCTATCACGGTAAAACTGGCGTGCCTTTTTTTAATAATATATTAAAAAAATTAAATCAATTACAATAGAAGATGGTGGCTTTGTGTGGGTAAAAGCGGGGCTGATGACTGCTTGCATTCTGTCTGATTATACCAGCTACTCTGTTGGGGGAATGGTAAATGGAGTTAATGTTGATCACTCCAGTGGAGTTTCTAGCACAGCCCCTTAACTGATGGGCAATGATGTACTTCTGTGCCGTAAACCTTCTCTGGTTCACAATCTTGTCTGTGGATAGATAGGTAGATAATTGGGGAAAGTTTTCTCTCCTGGAGTAAAGTTGCTGGTGTTGGCTTCCTTTGTGTGTCTATATTTAAGTGTATGACATAAGGCAGTGACTTTTGTGATTGATAACATATTTGTTACACTGTACAGGCTTTGTGCATCTCTTTTCCCCCCACACACACACACTCAACTTCGTTTTGGAACAGTATTTGCTCTTAATCAGACACTACAGGGTGTTCACAAAGACCTGTTACCCCCTTTTGTTTACACAGTGACCAACAACTGAAACATGTGGAAGAATGATGATAATTGTATTGAGAAGTACTTGATTGTATTCAGTACAAGTTTTTAATTGTATTTAGACGTCCTGAGGATTGGTGTGAGTGTGTGTCTGTGAGTGTGTGTGAGTGAGCGCCATCATTTTCATACAATGATCCATCAACAACAACATCCATCCATCAATGTTGTGACA